TGAGAAATTGAATAAAACATAAAGCAGATTAAAAATCAGTAAGAGGACATTAGAAATAAGTTAAGAGGGGACTTGACCAAACCTCACACTGAACTAAAAGCAAGCGAAGGTAGGTGGGTCTTTGACCTTGATTTGAAATTGTGAATGGTGGAATGGGAGGCTACTCCAGAGCCTGGGAGCAGCAACAGTGAAAGCTCAGTCACCTCTGGATTTGAGGCATGAAGGACGGACTGGAGGAAGAATAGTGAGAAAGATCAGTAACGTATTGTGGAGCTAATTCATTCAAGGCTTTAAAAGACCAACATTTTAAAATTGATCAGCTTTGTTTTTCTGCACTACCTCAGAGTGAATCACACCCTGCCGCTCTCTCTTTAGCCCTTTCTGTGTCTATAGAAGAGACGTAAGAGGCTCCTCCTTCTCTTTTGCATACTCTATCACTATACTCTGTTACTTTTCTCACTCAACACTGACTTTTGGCGTTTTTTCTCCGACAAGTTTCCGTGACCAGATCGGCAGCCATTGGGTGTTAAATCCCACATCCTGGCTGAAAGACGCACAAACCAGCGAGAGACTTGTTAAATCCAGAAATTCCCCCGCAGGCTGTATGACACGGCTGCATAACTTAATATGACAGTGTTTTTATAAACTAGACATGTGCATGTCGCAATCCATTTTCCACATATTGCTATGTATTTAAATTTTTTTTTACAGAGCTCTGCACATGATTTGTGTATTTTTCAGCATTTTCAGAGGTTGCTATTCTTGCTGCTTTTAATGTATCCATCATTCTTCTAGGATATCAGGGGGATCAGCGGTGCCGGAGCGGAGTGGTCTGCCTGACTAACAGGACTGCTGTCTGTGGCAAAGTGTTCGTGCAAAAAAAAACATGAAAGAGGTCAGCATCGGTAGCGAAGATGGAAAAACGCCTTCTCAAGCATGAATGGCTCTTCAGAGGCACTTTGTGGAAATACATGTCTGTACCTCCATACACCACTGTCAAAGTCATTGTTTCATTTGTCCATTTGTAAATGCAAATGACCCTCCACAATAACGCACATTATCTCTACAGATGTTTAACACGAGCATTTAGACTTTGTAGCTAGGTATGAAGATATTGAGGTTCCAGAGGAGTTTGTTTGGTGGCGGGTTTGCTCCGTTGCCCCGCTGGTTCACATGTTTGTCCTACTGCAGCTCCACCACCAGCTTCACATTAACTTATTTCTTTAGCTCAAAATCACAGCGGAGTGAGGATCGACTGCATGAAAGGGACGGGCAGATGGCTGACTGACTTCACTGCAGCAAACCGATATGCCAGGTGACCTTTCCCGAACCCTCCACGCATTTCTCCCTCTCGGTCGACTCTTTCGTCAGTTTCCTCCATTCAGGCAGAGGAGGCAGAAGCTCTTTGCTCTGGGCTGCACCGCTGATGCTCCGAGCTCCGCTGCTGTGTTCACATGGGAGGCGGCGGTAAAGGTCATTGCTAGAAGTTCAACACAAGTGATCGGAATTTCAAGTGAAGCGTGTTGCCCACATGTTGTGGCCCTGCTCTCTTCTGCTGCTCAGGGAGTACAGAGGACTCGTCGGGTGCGAAGGGAGCAGTTCAATGTCTCTGGAACAAAAGAGACACAGTATCTAATGGTGCAAGTTACCGGTCCTCCTCGGTTTTCAGTGTCATTCATATTAAGTGCCCGTCATTGTCATGTTAATCACGTTACATTTCTCTGGGTGTGAGTGCCAGCGTGTCCCTGCTAAACCCACGAGAGAGAGTTTCCTCAGTTCAATTTCAAACTAATCAGGATTTGAGTCTATGGCGAAAGAGTCAGCCCACAAGACTGTGACTCACCACCTGTAATGCATTTGTACCTTTGTTTTTGGAGTATGGGCTCATTATATTTCTTTGGGAAAATTGCAAAAGCCAAACAAATCAAAGTCTCCGGGAGTAAAGACAAAAAAAAATAAAAAAAATAGGGTAGGGGAGGACGTGGGTTCAGTTTACCTGAGGGGATAGCTTTGTTGTGTGGAAATGAATCTCACTCCTGATGAGACAAGCTTGGCATGGGCTTTAGAAGATGTGATGCCAAGCATTTTGACTGTTCATGAGTTGGCCATTATAATTGATATGAAAAATGTAATTTATTCTAATTGAATCTTATCTAGACTTGTCGTCCAGGGCGTTTTATATGGATTGTTTAATGCCTGCAGCATCTACAATGAACTAATAACAATGGACTGGGTCATGTCTACTCTATATATAGGGGAAAACAACTAAACAGGAGAATTTTTGCAGACAAGTTTGAATATTTACACGTGTATTCTCCACCTGAAACTCCAAATATCTACGACAATAATAGCTAACAGCATCAGACCTCCACCAAGTCCGGTCCCCTCCAAAGTTACACCCTTCCACCAAGTTTCATGAAAATCGGGCCAGTAGTTTTTCCTTAATCCTTAATAAAGTATCACATTCTTTAACTGATTTCAGGCCGAGTTGGGAGGGACAGTTACTTTGTATGTGCATACATTATTTTGAGCACTCTTTGGTTACCTAGAGGGATCAATCGAGATCGTTTTGGTGTAAAAGGTAAAAATATGAATTTTTGATTTGGGGTGAACTGTCCCTTTAATGCACAAACTGTATGTTTACACAATCAAGCATCAACACAGCAGCTCCAACAAAAAACTACTAGAAACTCAAAATCCAGCTCTCCCAACAGAAGTATTGACACTGTTCAACAGTTTATCAGAGAGGGAAAGCTGACTACAGTCAATTACATGTCGATGTTGAAATCCATCCTGGAGACATAGTTAAACCGACTGATGCACTATAAGAAGAGCCCATCATGCAAGATCCTCAGCCTGGATACACAACAGAAGATTAGACCTTTTGCTGCCATCCTTGAAATTTGAGCTTTCTCCATCTAACGTGCATAACATACTGCACTCATCAATGCACAAACGCTGCTACAAGCTGGTTCTGGCTTTTGCTGGGTTTCAAGTGCTTAGCGAGGAGAGGTGCAGAATGTTACAGGGAAGGTTTCCTTGTGTGTGTGTGCATGCACCAATGTGGCTATGCGCTAGTGTGTCTTCGCCGTCTATCTGCGAGTGTGTGAGTCATCCCACTATTAGGTTGTCTCTGAAGCACAACAAGCAGCCATAATCGGCTGGACGCCGCGCTGTAATGGCTCTCTGCGAGACAGCTAATAAGTTACACGCCAGATTGCAAACCGTAATAAGCCCGACTGAGTCACTATTCTGGGCCACATCATTATTTCTCAACCCGCTGACCGTGACCCCAGGGTGGGCTGGAGAGCTGCTCTGACAGGGTGCAGGACATGATGGGGCTCCTGCGGGAGACATTTAGAAAAAGCCTGAAAACTGACTTCATCTGTGGTCTTTCTTCATATATATATATATATATATATATATATATATATCAGTATTGTGCTAATGTAATGCTCTTACCCTTTTGTTTAATTGTCTTTTAATAGTAGCCAGGTGGTCTTCACCCTGTTCTCAGCTATTAAAAAACCCAATAAATCCAACTGTTGAATGCAAATTAACATGACCAACATATTTCACGTTTCCAGACAGAAAACCTGCCTCCCATTTGGTTTCCACATGCTTGCTTGTTTATTTGCCCCTGCAATGAATGATGGGGCTGATGCCTTAAGGTCCTCTACTGTAATAAACCAGCTCAGAACTATTTTAAGCAGATCCAGCTGAGAACTGCTGCCATTAATATTCTCATGCAGGGAGCCAGGGCAAGATATCGATCCAGGGCTCTGCATGTGCTCGCTGCTGTATGTGAGTGTGCGCCTGTTTGTGTGTGTGAGGCGACGTGCCAGAGAGTTGGAGGAGCTGTTGGCTGGCATGAAAAGCTGAAGGGCCGGGACTCACACCAGTTTTCGGCAGATAGCACGGTGATGAATGGCCTTAATTGTGTTGCTGGATGTTGCCCCGTATCTGGTTCCAGGTGAGGAGAGGAAAATCCAACAAACCCCAGAAAGAGAGGCTGGAGCGTTTTCAGCACCGCGGAGAGCTCCAGCAGCAAACGCACGCGGCACCACCGATCCCAATTTCCCACTCTGCTGGCCGTCACGGAGGCTTTGCCGCCGCTGCTACCGGCTCTCCAGTGACACCGATAGGATTCTCCCACGAGAGAGCGCCGCAGCAGCTCATCTAACACAAGCAGACAACATAATCTCGTCTGATTGTTTTTAGGGGCATTTTTTATTTTCATTTTTTTGTTTTTGTTTTTGTTCTAACGTTCTTGAGAGTGCTCGCGTGCTGGTGAGAGGATGCGCTTTATGAGTCACTGGTCGTTAGAATATGAGTCTTCCCAGCGTGCTGCCAAAGGGGGAATTTGGCTGATGGTGTGGGAGGAAGAGGTGGGAGGTTTGTACCGGGAAGCCGTGCGAGCGACTGGAGATGTGCGTGTCTCACTATGTTATCATCCCTCTGCTGCTTGAGCAAACCTGGCGCATTCCGGGGCAAGGTGTGGGGGGGGGGTCCAACTGAACCCATTTATCAAACACTCTCCTGTTGTTTTTAGAGCCTCTGCGCGGCTACACGAGGTTTCCCCTGAAGCTGGCACCATGGTCATATTGAATGAATAATCGTACCCCGTGTTGCGCCACATACCAGGCGGTGTAGTTAAACACTGTCACAGATGGTCACTGACATCGCCCATGCGCTACGAGGCTGCACCTCAACACATAGCCTCTCTCTCTCTCTCTCTGCCCGTAAATGCTGGATCTCTCTTTCTCTCTCCATCTATCTAGAATATCGATGCATTCCTCTTCAGCAACTCGAAAACAATAAGAACTCAAATTTAAAGCACAGCCAGCCGGTTTAGTTTCCACTCACTCCACACTCCCAATGCAAATAGTGAGGTATACAGCAGCGTCATGCACCCACAAACAACCAAACTTGTAAAACACAGTTAAATAGGAGCCTCAGAGCCCCCCATCACGCATTAGTAAACACAGCGGCCACCTTACCTGTGGTAGTCCGAGGCAAGAGGGCAGAAAGAAAAGGGAATTCGTGAGAAAAAATGTCAAAGATTTCCTGGCAGCGACGACACCAAAACTGCGCTCTTTTTTTGTTTTAGCTCCACTCCTCTCCTCCCGCTCCGCAGGGCGTAAAGGGTTCAGGTGAATGAATACAGGCCGGTGTGTCAGGCAGCAGCTGCGTTTGTAGCGACGGGGTTAGTGCGTCCCAACTCTCATCATCATCATCATCATCATCAGCGGCGGCGGCTCGCCATCGTTCTGCTCCTCCGGCTGGGTTTCCTCTCAGCGCTCCGCTCGTGCTCTGCCCTATTTCAACTCCTCTCGCTCCGCGCTCTCCTCTCTGACGTCAGCCGCTGCACGCCAAATAATGCGGTGAGGCTGCATCTGCAGATTCATCGCGCTGGAAAGCGACACCTGTGTGTGCATAAGCGTGCGCGCGTGTGTGTGTTTAGACATGCGGACCACAGAATAGCCGAGAATCAAAGATTATTTGCAGGTGTTTTATGAGTTTCTTTATTTCAGGATTGGTAACATTTTTCAATGCAGAGCTAACATTTGGATTTGGGAATAGATTTTAGGTTTGGGTTAAAGTTATGCATTAAGTTTACAGAATAAACATGAATATAGTGCAATAAGACACAAATAAAGCCAGTCAATCTAATATTCTGTATGCAAATCAGTTTGTTACAATAATTAAATGAAGTCACATAACGCAGTGATCCTATGTTAGACACTGACAATTGTTTGAAATGAAAAACAATTACTTGTCACAACTCAGCAGTTAAAGAATGGTTTTAAATACTGCAAACTGCATCACATGAAATGTCATTTGCCTTTCGAAACAAAAGCAAAGGTGAAGATGAGTGATGGAGTTAAGAATCAAAGAGGATGACATGGTGACAGATGGTGTTGCTGATTTTCTTGGTTCATCCAGCGAGAACGTCAAACAGTCAAATGTTGTCAAAAGTGTCATATGCATATTTTATTTTTTCACGGATTGTTTCCCACTCGGGCTTTACTTATGCAGCGACTGTCGGCTCTATGACAGAACACTCACAAGCCTCACTAATCAACAAGGCAGCTCTGATGTTCACAGAGGAATTAGACATGCAGAGGACAGGCAGGTACGTCCGAATCACTTTCACAGATGAGCAAATTTACAGCGGATTACCTGCTTATATTAAGGCTGTGTTCAAAGGTTTCATTTGGACACACGCAGTACAATGATACAGTACATTTTTACTGCAGTTATGATGAAACATCACGGAAGTACACATATCCCAGTGACCCTTACATTTAATAATTAACAATAGGCATCATTCTCTTTCTCTACTTTTCTTCATCCCTTTGTATTGAAGTGGGAAGAGGGATAACTACACATGGCACAATTAAGCTGACATACTGTATCCTAAAAAGATTGGAGAATGGTTGCACCCCCATCAAAATTGCATGTGGCGGTAAAATATTAATGCTCGATGTAACATTTATCAAGAAAGTGGGGAAAAAAGACTGTTGGAAAAATAAGAAGCAACTAAAGAAAAACGAAATGGGAGGGGTACTAAAGGGGAGGAAGAGTGAAGTAAAGAATGGAACCTTTGTCATGAAGTTGCAATACTCAAGTACTTCAAGGAATTCTGTAGACTTCAATAGGACGAAGGACCAAATAAAAGAATAAATAACAGGACATACTACAGATAATGTTTAAATAGCAGCACGCGCTGCAGTAACAGGTGATGTCTGATGAAACAGAGAGTGGCCTTGTAGCACAAAGCTGCAACAAGAGCCAATCCAGATTGGTTACATTTTCTTTTCCTGCCTTTTGATAGATAACCTACCCAGTCGGCAGAATAAATGTTGGAATTGTACATTACTGCAAACCATGGCTACGTTGAATGTCGACTTTTGTGAACCGAAAATACGTTTTATATCTGCCTCGTAACACACCCACAGAAACGCACAATGCTAGATTGTTAAAGTTGTGAAACAATTGTTAAGGTTTAGGCAACAAAGATTATCTTTTGGTTCAAAAAAATAATGCAACAACTTAACAAAAGCAACGTGACGCAGCAACGTGACGCAGCAACGTGACGCAGCAACGTGACGCAAAGCAACGTGACGCAAAGCAACGTGACGCAAAGCAACGTGACGCAAAGCAACGTGACGCAAAGCAACGTGACGCAAAGCAACGTGACGGATTTGGGACAGAGCATATGTTTAAATGTTTCAGCATCATAGTGACAGACATTGGGTTTGAATATTTCCACAGACAGAGTGAGGCTGGTGTGCTTGTCCGTCTTACACACAAAGCAATGAAAGGAATGATGTAGACATATTTTTATTCATCCCTGACAGTCAGTTCCATTATTCCTGCTAAATTCAAGTAATTTTAACATGGCCCGCTGAGAATAAGGTCAACGTTTCTTTTCTTCTTAATGAATAAAAGTCAAAATTTGAATTTGTTCTTTTATCGTTTCCAGACATAGAGCACAGGCCCTTTTAAATAAAAGATCAATTGAATTAAGTGCCTATCTTAAAGTTCTCCTCCAAACGCATTTCAAACTATGGTAAAATACTATGCTATGATTAAAATTTTGTTTAAAAAGGTTTTCCCACATAAGAAAAAAGAAAATATGAAAAAGGGGTTGGAAGCGCATCTACTCCTACCTCATTGACGAGATATATTAATATGCAAATATGCAGATGTAAGAGAAAGTTAGCCTTTTTGTTTTGTTCATGTTAGCTTATTAGCTTTTTCTACCAACATTAGCGCTTCTATGCAGGGTTTTAAACACACATGGTAATAGAGTGATTTCCCATTGCCAATAGAACAGTAAGCTTTTCGGTTTCTTTTCTGGTGTGTCACGTTCTTCATCACAGAAGCACCGGTCGGCACTGGAAGCAGGGAAAATGTTTACAGTGGTAGCTTCTTTTTTATCTCTGTTACTTATTCAGTCTCTCTTTCAAACTCTAAAACCAGAGTTGGTGATTGTTGGAACAGTGGAAAGAGTTTTATTTTGTTCCTAATAAGTTTGAATGTAATCAGCGAGATAGAATGACTGTTGTCTGACTGGAGTCTTGTGGCTCTGAGGAGAGCATATTAATAGTATGTTTTATACATTCATACACTATGATAATTGTCTATATCCCTGTTCATTTCCTTAATTTTATATTCATGTGTGTCACATAGCATCGCACCAGAAGAGGGGCAAAAATTAGCGAGTCCACCCAGATGTCATGTTTCCATCACTTCTGATCAGAGCAGATACATATCTGTGACTACTGCAGAGTCATTTATCCCGAGAATGAAGGCCGATTGTAACCTTTCCCACAGAAGACAAAAGCCAGATGTTAGTGGGTGTTAGTGGGTTTTTTACAGAAGGAAAGGGGCTTTTAATAATGTTGCAAGACTTTGAAAAGGAGCGGGTTGGAACATTATTCCTTCCAATCCTTTTCACGTTATTATAAAACCTTTGTTTCACTGCTGATTGATCCTGATGTGCTGCTGTATTGTGCATGTGGTGACCATACTGTCTTTGCACCACGTCACCAAGAAAGTGGAATGAAAGTGGAACAGTGTTATAAACTATGCCAGATAACAGAATTGGGTTGCCAAGCAAGCACGACAACAAGCTGGCCATTTGGGAAAATAAGATGTCACATAAAATAGCTGATAAAGAGATGTGGGAAATCTAAAACATTGCAATATATTCTGTTGATGTTTTGCATCATGTTTTACAAAAAGCAATAATCAAATCGTAAACATGTTTCGCACAAACACATACATGTTGTTTTGTCATGTGTTGATTATGGTTCATCATGTGTTAAACAACGCACTTGTACGCTGTCACACAGTCTGCAGTTTTTCTTAGAAAAGTTCCATGTACAACAGGATCCTCCTTTGAAACAACAACAACTGCATTACCTCTTTGGACATGTCTGAGGTCTTTTTCAAAACACCAGCAATTTTCTTTTGCAACAATCCCCCCCCCCCCTCCAAATGATTTTCAGAGCAGCTACGGTGATTTTTGTCCACTGATTGGCTGAGCACCGGAATCTTTCTGGTGGAGCACTCAGCCTTCTCTGTGTTGCCTCCTCTGAGGGCTTTAAGGTATAATCCTTGCAACTTTCCAAACAGGTCTTCATTGTTTGCAACATTTCAAATAGAAACTAAAAGAAATAGCCCACAGTACAAACATTCTCCTGTGGTGGAAACAACGTATTTACACCTTAATTTTCCAAAAGGACAATCTGAGAACACACACAGACACATACAAGGTGCGCACATTCCTTAATCTGTCTCTGAGCCATGGCATTGGATATAGTCTGATCCAGGTTATTGACAAATGCATATCAGATCTATTCATAAAACCAACAGCTCTCTTCGCAGTGCAGAGACGATCTCAGACCGCTGTAGGCGTACCCTGAGAGGCAAATCAATCACGCCTAAATGGTGCAAATATGAATCGACCCTCGAGGGGCCCATACAGACGACAGCCCGTGCATGGCATTACAAGAGGAACATCGTGTGCATTTTACCCTCAGCTACACCCATGGCTGAACAAACAGAGTTTCAGACTAGCATGTCGGGACTGAGCAGCTAACAGCAGTCATCGTTTTCTCTGCCATCATTTGCTCAGAAGTGTTTGTACTTGCAGTCTTACGTCAGAAACATAATATCTTCTCCCCTCAACCTTAAAGGCACTCAGGCATGTGTCAGCACTAAAAGGCCTCTGCTCCCTCGGAGACAGACACACCAGGAGATAGAGCCATAACTCCTCTTTATGTCCTCTTCCTGCAGCTCACCACTGTAAAGCATTGATGTGACTCACACACGTCTGCATCACGTACATTAGCAGGGTCTCTCATGCTGCGTCTATTGTGAACATTGCTAAACATTGTGTTTAACTTCATTGTTTTAAAAAAGTTATCCAGATATATGTTTGAACGTGTTTCACAAAAATGTCCACGACGGGGCTCAGCACAAGTACTGATACGGTTCTGACATCACGTTTGCCAGACAAGAACGTTGATATTGGACAAACCTGTAAGTAATGTATGGTTTGGGTTAGCAAACTAAAAACATCATCATTACTTTCTATAAAGGGCATTCAAGAATC